AACTAAATCTTGCATGATGGGCGCTTTGAAAATCGGTTCAGCCACACCTAAGCATGATCCTCGTACCATAGTACAAAGGCTGATCGGTGARAARCCGTTAYTAACAACTGAAGGTCACTTACTGACAGCSACTCTGATGTCGGTAAATGCATACATCCATACCACCATACTGTATGACCGATGGGCCGACTGGGATGGTAGACCAGTAAGYGAAAAACCKCCATTTTATCATGGAATAAGTCAAGATGGAGCAGTGCTTTTGTCTCGTGTTTCAGATGAAGTTATGGCCATTGCTAAAGCTATTGRAAAACAAAGTCCTGAGACTGATTTATCGAGAACAGAGCACGTGTTTGATTGGTACAAGAGATGCTACAGCAGTGAAGCAGAAGACGTCACCTCTCTTTATACCATCATTAAAACCAACAAGGCGTACGCAGAATTATTCCATCCTGTCCGACAAACACCTGATGGAAAATGGCTGCCTGACTTTAGTTATCGATATATGACCGAAGACATGCCCTATGGCCTTGTGGTGATCCGTGGCATAGCTGAAATACTAGGTGTGGCAACTCCATACATGGATAAGGTGTTGACATGGGCGCAGGAACAGATGGGCAAAAAGTACCTTGCTAATGGAAAAATCCAGGGAGARAACGTGAAAGAAACACGTGCCCCTCAGAGATACGGTTTTACTACAGTACATGACTTGTTGAGTGTTTAGCGTTGAACCTCGTGGACGGTCAAGAAAGTACGATAATAATTTGAACATTTGTTAAATCATTCTGCAAATTCTTATCTTAATTCTATAAAAAAAAACATTTTTAGCCATTGAAACCCAAGAACATTCCTATAATTTCGTGAATTATTGTTACCTTATTATTATAGCAATGTCAGGGAGACATTAAAAGACGGACCACCAACCGCTGTCTGATATTTTTGTTGAATGCTTGTTTTTCCCCTCTGTTTCACATTGCTTGATATTTTTCATAGGTTAAAATTACTCTATTTTTTTCTGACTTATTGATTGATTGATTGATTGATTGATTGATTGATTGATTAAGTAGCTGTCGGTTGGTTGGTTGATTGATTGTTTGATTGATTAAATAGCTGTTGGTTGGTTGGTTGATTGACTGTTCCTAATAACTATTGTAAGTACAGCCATATGCAGGCTTATGGCATCAAAAGAATTATTGAGTAAACCGTGAGTAACGTTGCAATGCAAAGACGGAGAAATACGAGATTCAAACCCACTCTAACATGTAAATGCAACATTGCCGCTGTTCATATTTTGCATCAGTGTTTGTTATTTTTCATGTTTTCTGTTGGGCAACAATTTGAGTGGTGTTGCATCTCGTGTTTCTCRGCCTTAAACTTGTATTAACAACAAAGACGGAAAATGCACAAGTATAGCAATCATATTTTTGGAATATATAATTTGTATCATTATCAGCTAATATCAATACAATAATAATTAATAATAATTACTTCATACTAATTACAATTATAGACAAAGATTATTTAGTTTTTAATATTATATGAATAAATTTCTATGTCACGTAAAAATCTCGATTTCAAATGAAAATAATGTCATGCATAAATTGAAACCATTCAATGTCAATGGTTACAACGCCTGCGTGGTGAGAATAAAACCATCACTTGTTTTTTTGGTACACGTAGCCTGTTTTTTTAAAAAAACTGCAGAATTACCTGAGCGCAATTTGTTAGTTTCTTGCGCTGATTTTCAATGATAATATATCGACTGTTGAAATTCGTAACACCGCCGCATCAGGTTGTCGATGATGAGATTACCACATACGTTATCGCGGAAAGCACCTGACGATATCTGTATGTGATGTTATTAGAGTCATTTTCATCCGTCTGTGAAACAATTACTACTAGTCAGTGTTTAATAGTAACTATTAGGGTGTAGTAGGCTACCAAAAGGTAAAATCAAAACCGTGTTTGCCTCATTAGTTTGTCCCATGTCATAAGTTAAATTATTGGGAGCTAATAGGGGGTAATAGTATTTAATAGTACACTTCCTATTTCACAGTCTGATGAAAATGACTCTATTGCTGGAGTTAGAGTATAGACGCACTGAATGCGTGAAACAGAAATAGTGCAAAATAGGTATTAAACAATACTTTTGTTTTCCATCATGTCATCAACACTATATAATAGGAATTAGAATATTTATTTCGCGGATTTAGTGCGTGTTTTAGTACACTTTATGTATTTCTAGATAGCCTTCCACAGCGAGCCTTGTTCCACTTACTGTACTAGCGGCCCAGATCCCCAGTCGACTGTGGCCCGGTACCAAGATGGCACCCGATAGACTGGAACCTAGAAGAGAAGATTGATAATATCATTTGACTTTCCATACCAAGGTTCAGTGATTGCGAACAAAGCATCGAACCGAGGCGTGAAGGTGCACTGGACACAGATCTTTTTTATGCCAACAGTACCTCAAAGCCTCGGTTCAATACTTTGTTCACTAAACGGCTGAGTATAGACTATCGTGTAAGCATCTCGGCGATTCAGAAATGAAAAGTTTGCAACAATTAAAGGGCTGATGTAGAGCGTTATGATCGCTTAAGTTCTTACTTATAATAGTTGTATAAAAAGATAAATTAAACACCGTAAAAAAGTAGGTGAAGTAACTTATTATAAGTAACACAACTGTTTCTTTAGAAACACCGACGCAGCTCACACTAGTTTACCGCTAGTTCCCACCATTCTTACTTATAATAATTAAGTTTCACAGCAAAAAGACAAACCTGGTCGCCATGGTGATACGTCTGATCGATGTCGGGACGGGTTGGACTGGCTCTTAGGAGCTGAAGATGTCACACTTATTTTGTAACTGGTCGGAGATTTTCCTGAACTGTTGAACTGGAAATTACAAAAAAACAATCATATACACAGGGAAACAAACAAAAAAACAAAGATTTTTGTTCAGCTATATCTTCTCTAGAATATCTTTAATGTGCGAGTTCATCGTTTTGACAGGAAACCCAATCTGCGCCCCTAGGGTAGTAGAGCCAAACTCCTTTGTTTTCAATCCTTCAGTGAAAAGAAACTACCTCCACGTAGGGTACCCTATCACATGTAAACAGGGCCTAAGTATTGCAGTATACTTAATCCCTAGTACAATAACACGGATCCATTGAAAACCAACAAACACCAGAAATCGTATTAACAACACATGGTTTTTATTCACAAACCGTCATTGGCTCCCATCCGATCATTGTCGGTAGACAGAAACCCATTAACATGTCTATCAACACACGATTTATGAGAGCTATAATGAGATTGTGATAAGAATTATGGACGTTTCATCTGCCTCGAGAAGTGACGTCCAGTCAAGTCATTTCTTGCCAACTCGTTCGAGTACAACAAAAAGGTATTTCTATACAGATAATGCATCTTTGCCCTCTTTTATGTATTTCCACGGGTAAAAAATAATGATTTCAAGTGCTGTAGGTAGCGATACACTATAAACCTTTTACGCCATATTCGTTAGTGCTCAGGTAGTTTGTCTCTCTATACATACCAATCTTAACTCTCAACACTGCATAGGATTTTTTTTGCTTTGGCCATATTTTTCTCTATGGTAAATGACTGTGGCTTTCTCTTATTTTCAAATAAAAATTACTTATTTACTTATTACGTCAATTGTCTCACATCAAACAAGAAAAAAAAGCGGGTAAAAGCGCAAGCCCCCAAAACTATCGGCAAACCCTAGATGACTCTATTGGTCTATATATTGGCCATGAATGTAGATGACATCGAGCAATTGCACTCGAACGCTTTCTTATGATTTTGCTTCTTCGATGTATGCAACCCCTTAAGTTCACATTGTAATACTTTTGTCTCAAACAAACCATAATTTATATAACGGTAACCACAAAATGGCGGGAAAAGTCGCAAGTCCACGAGTAGCGGTGACTCAATACAGCACCACTCCAATCGTTTCAAACAATTGTGTTCTTCGATAAATAGCTTCTTATCGTGTCATGTGTGTTTTTTGTTTTTAAATAGAAAAATTACYTGTACAACAGCCTCCATACTTAACAAGAACAAACGAATGACAAAATGTGACAATGAAAACTCGTCAAAAGAAGACATTGAAGCMTTAGTGCAGTGGCACTTTGCTAAAGCAATAAACAACTTGATAAAAGACAATCTCAACCTTACTATCGAGGAGCTGCTGAGCTCCATTGATGATTTTACTATTTACGCTGCAACGCATATGTATGTAAACKATATAGCTAATTAACCAAATTGTACATTCACACTTGTAAATATAAAGACTGGTACCATTATTATACTATCCCTGAATATTGAAATAACAATGAACTTACACAGAACATTTTTGGAACTATTATGAATGATGGTTCGATCTCAATCTCTTAAACACGACCTGCCTGGAATAGGTTGTGAAGGATGAATTTATTCAGTCTCTGATGGACATTTTGTATGGGTGTTATCATCTGTTAAGCACCGGTTCTTATTTAATACGACACAAGCAGAAGCAGAAGCCAAGAACACAAAACGGACATAAAGGAATGAAGTCAGGTCTGACTGACATAAGCATAGAAGCTAGCATAAAGATAATCAGGACAAAACAATAAACAAAAACAAAAATCCTTAAACTGTTGTGTTTTGAAGAGAATGCTTATGTTGAAGTGTGAAGCCAAGGGCTTACACGTTGGATATTCAACCGACCGGCTGCTTGTTCATACTTGGTTTCAAACTTCCTACAAATCAGATACCTTACTTTCAACAGATCCTATTCATGATAGCAAATGATGGCTTTTAGATTGGAATGAAAAATATCCATGTGGACTTTTAGGAGGTTAACGACTTCAAATTTGGATATTTCGTCAGGTTTCGCTGTTGTTAATCCACGCGGGGATATCATGCAAGAGCATTTGATGTCACAAGATTTTATCAAATTTGTTCCTATATACTTGGAGCGGATTACGTGCAAAAAAAGAANGAAGTCAGGTCTGACTGACATAAGCATAGAAGCTAGCATAAAGATAATCAGGATGTTTTGAAGAGAATGCTTATGTTGAAGTGTGAAGCCAAGGGCTTATACGTTGGATACTCAACCGACCGGCTGCTTGTTCATACTTGGTCTCAAACTTCCTACAAATCAGATACCTTATTTTCAACAGATCCTATTCATGATAGCAAATGATGGCTTTTAGATTGCAATGAAAAATATCCATGTGGACTTTTAGGAGGTTAACGACTTCAAATTTGGATATTTCGTCAGGTTTTGCTGTTGTTAATGCACACGGGGATATCAAGAGCATTTGATGTCACAAGATTTTATCAACTTTGTTCCTATATACTTGAGCGGATTACGTGCAAAAAAAACAAAAAAACAAAAAACAAAAAACAAACAAACGAAAACACGGCTCTTTTGGACAGGCTTTCATGACGAGACCTTAGCCGTGATGATTTCTTCTTGAATCAGCATTTTCGTTTGGCGTCCCTACCAGGCGAGGTTGAGTCTTTGTTTTATTGAATTACGCAATCTGATAATGTTGCCGTGATCTGAAAGGACTGCATGTATCCTAGCCTGAAGTCACCTCCGATTTCAAGTTGAATTTACAACCAAACATGAACAAAGAAATTACACCTATTTCAAAAGACGACCACGACACAGTCCACAGTCTTGAGCCTGCAAAGAATCTCGGGGTTCCATGCGTAATTAATATATTGAGAATATTGTGGTTTGAATTCAATGCCGGCAAGCACTACTAATATACTCTTGGGGGCATGTCTCGCCACGAGAAATTTTCCTTGAAAAACTAATTCCACGCTTTCAAACCGTCAATGAGTTTCAAATGCTCTGTGTCAGCCTCATTTATGCGCAAAAAATTCCTAATTGTGCTGAATAAAAGTGTGAGATTTCAAATCTTTCTTTTCAAATTCCAAGCGTATTCTCGAGCTGTCAATGAAACAAAAGAAGAAGTTGCTTGGTTTTGAGGCCAACACAGACAACCAGAACTCTAAATCGGAGTATTTTGAATAACTAAAATTGAATATATGATTTTATATGGCAATCCCGAGATTCTTTGCCAGTCTCAAGACCGTGGACTGTGTCCAACGCGACAACATTTTTTGAAATAGGTATATATGAACTGCTTACCAGTGCAACTGGCTCCTCGTCAATGGTAATCTGTAGCGATGGCGGTGAGCTTGACTTGGATGCAAATGCTCCTATTTTCACCCTGCAATACATTAATCACTTAGGCTCGTTTTTCCTGGTTGGAGAGGTCACAGTATTGAATGACACTAGGACTTTGACAAGCTCTATCTAGTAGGTAATTTGTATCATTTATATCCCAAGTATATAAGGTCATGCATTTTCAGGCTAACGATAAGCATTCACAAGGGTGAACATATTGAAAAGTAATCGGAGCAATGGTGAGCTTGCAGTGATGTGTTACTTTGAATAATTGTTTAACAATTGTCCATATTAAGTGCGAAAGAAGTTTCTGTTATGTTGAAAGAAGTATTCGTGTACTGTTCTAGCTTCTATTATTCAAAGCTTGAGATGTACATCACGGCGAGCTCTAACCATCCTCAGTCACAGACTTTGAGTAGACCAACAGTTTAAGTATAATCTCAGCTAATTGCTATGTACCTGGATTTCCTGAGTATCAAGGAATTGTGCACTGAGTTTGATTCGGGCGCGAAACAAAAAAGGGAAAAAGTATCTGAAATATTCTTATCGAGTACCAAAGTCTATGAGTTCGTCCATGTGGGAACATATAAGGAAGACTTACAAGCATGCGCAACAAATACCCTCAAATTTCAACCGTATTGGTGCTTATAGCTTTGGTGCTCACGAAATATCACCATCTAGCAATCACTTCTCGTTAAGTGGGCGGGGTTCGGCAGTGGCGAGGGTCAGACAATGTTGCATGACTGAAATACTCACCAGTAACAGCCTGCACCAGTTATCACGATGTAAGGCTTGTTTTTCTCCCAAACAAACGTCCTACTGTCAGTATTAATAAGCTGGCCGACAAAATTGATGTCTTGTGCGTGATGGCCGTTGCCACATGAATGACTTTTAGGATAAACGCTAGATATACCACCCCACCGCCACCTATAAAACACAAGATAGATATTTATTTTATTTTTATTTTATTATCTTTGCCCAAATTACATAAACAACAACAGCAAAATCAACAAAAGATACCATAACAACAAAAACAAAATGATATTAGGGGCAGGGACACCGCAACAGTTTGAGCCAATTACTGCGGACCCGAGCTATACTTTCAAAAGAAAAACAAGAAAAACGGTCGGACAATAGATATTACAAATCAGTAGTGATGCTTCTCACAACGTTGCAGTCGGGACAGATAGATATCCAGGTTTAAGGTACTTCGGGGTCATAATTTAGGGGTCAAAGCAGTGAAGTAATATTTCAGTAAAGCATTTCTAAATAAGGAAAGTTTGGAAAAGCTTGAACTATCAATAAAAGTAACTAAGTTATTCCAAATATGAGTAGCCCTGACTAAGAATGATTTCTGAAAAGTAGTTGTTTTACATTTACGAGCGAAAAAAATTGATTTGAGCCTAAATTGGTTGTAGWTCTAGTAGGTCGAGATGAACGGACTTTGGGTATAACAGAGGGATTTATATCTACAACCCCATTAACTATCTTAAAGAAATAATTTAGATCTAAGTACTCATGCCACCCCGCCGTCACCTAAAGAACACAAGATAGATATACCAGCCCATTGYCATGGTCTACAGAACACAAGGCAATTAAGACATTACTCCCTCCCCTTGCCCCAATCCGCACCAAGATGCCCCACCCTAGCGTGCGTAGCGGCCCACCCCAATCCTCCCATAGCCACTGCACAGGCAACCCCACCCTGGTAATCTGGTAACCTCATTTCGACGCTGTGTTGAATACATGAGATGAAATGAGCTTTTTGTTTGGCTGATAACCGCGTTTACACAAATATCTCATAGTTCAGGGAATACAGATATAGTCACAAACCTAAGACAAACCCTGCCCTCGGATAGTATGCTTCTACGAATCGAAATATTCGTAAACAATATCGAATATGAATAGATATATGCAGTAGAACTGGAGTATCAAYACCGCCATTAATCATAAACATCATTCATCGTATGTTATCATCRTCATAATCATGTTTACCTGCCGTGAACAGGAAATGCAGAACCTATAGAGCTGACT